CCCAGTCCTCCGAACGACAAACAAAAAGGAAACACCCCTTCCATCCCTTATTACTGGAAGGAGCCCCGCTAACTCGGAAGCCCGATCGGGCGGACAGATAATAACCCCCCGACCCCTTGGAAAGACGAAAACAGGAGAGGAAGAGGGACCGGATCGGGGCAATATTGGCGTAGTGGCACTCCCCTAGGAATGCCACCAGATAGCGTCAGGAGTTCGGTGCCATCTGTGACGGGAAAATGTGCCACCACGAGATACAAGAGGTGATGACGGGAGGCGCTTTGAGCGACTACCTCTATGCGGCCTGCCCGCCTGAGTCGTGCTCCTCGGCTGCATGTTGTCCGAGACCACTACCTCTGCGCGGCCTGCCCGCCTGAGTCGTGCTTCTCGGCTGCATGTTGCCCGAGACCACTACCTCTGCGCGGCCAGCCCGCCTGAGTCATGCGTCCTCAGCTGCGTGCTGCCCGAGACCACTACCTCTGCGCGGCTTGCCCGCCTGAGCCGTGCTCCTCGGCTGCATGTTGCCCGAGACCACTACCTCTGCGCGGCCTGCCCGCCTGAGTCGTGCTCCTCGGTTGCAAGCTGCCCGAGACCACTACCTCTGCGCGGCCAGCCCGCCTGAGTCGTGCGTCCTCGGCTGCGTGTTGCCCGAGACCACTACCTCTGCGCGGCCTGCCCGCTTGAGTCGTGCTCCTCGGCTGCAAGCTGCCTGAGACCACTACCTTTGCACGGCCAGCCCGCTTGAGTCGTGCGTCCTCAGTTGCGTGCTGCCCGAGACCACTACCTCTGCGCGGCCTGCCCGCCTAAGTCGTGCTCCTCGGCTGCATGTTGCCCGAGACCACTATCTCTACGCGACCTGCATGCCCGAGGCATGCTCCTCGGCCGCATACTGCCTAGGGCCACCACTGCACATACAACCCTCCTTAGTTACTAAACTCCACAATTCTCACACCCCTAGTAACGGGCCGGCAACCGCCCAGCAGGGATGGTTTCTTAAAGCTGAAGCCATGCCTCGGACCCCCCTTTACACCAACCGACGCATAGCTTCCTTCGGGGGGGGGAATATGATGAGGGTAATAATGACGACAAGACTCGGGTGACGTCAGCCGCCCCAGATGATGCCTCACACCTCTGTTGACCTGTCAACACCTGGTCAACGTGGACCGGAACGTTGACCAAGGCACATTAACACCCTGCTCAGGCTCGATCCCTCACGCCACGCCAACATCGATGTCAGACGCTACCAGAAGTACGATCTTGCTCCCTGCGGGCAGGCACATCAAGCAACGGTAACCCTCACTATAAAAACCCTCGCGCTCCGAGGAAAAGAGGAGCAGGACACAATAGATAAAAACCCCCTGTGACTATTCACTAACTTGATCGTCGGAGGGGTCGGGCCGAGCTCCCCCGACCCGACCTGTGTGCAGGTGCGAAGATGGAGGCCTCCCACTAAACGCCCAGGCGAGGAGTTCCCTCCCGGAGGAAGCAGCGACTCTGTCTCGATCATACCATCGTAATCTGCTACCTCAGCGGTCTTAAGGGCCGCCCCGGGAAGATCCCCCATCATCCGGACCCAAACCAAGCCGCGTCGGCCCCGAGGCCACGGCTTAAAGTTGTTTAAGCCAACAGAATGCACCACGCTGACAGAGAAAAGAAAATAGAGGAGTACAAGATCGATTAATTCGACTCCTAGTTCTATGATAATGATTTGAATCCAATGCTCAATTAGTTTTGCTACTACTTTGTAAGCATTAGATATTTATACCTCCGAGCCGATGCATGAGTCCGCCGTTACTGTTGACGCCACGGATGCAGTAGCTGTCGACAGACTACTGTGGTTGACCGGCGACAAGTAGACTAGAATTCTCGATGGTCGATTCCCCTTGTCCACTGCTGCAGCCAGTAGCCTTAGAGCTCTCTGCGAAGAGAAACAAAGGCACAGGCTGTGAGTGGGGAGATATGGCGGCTGCCGGCACCGCAGCGATAGAACACCGCCTGCGGTCGTTGAAAGGCCGCGTGGCGATCGTGACAGGCGGCGCAGGTGGCATCGGCTCGGCGGTCTCGGCCCACCTCGCCTCCCTTGGTGCAAGCGTCGTCATCGGCTACGTCAGTGACCCAAGCCCAACAGAGAAGTTGGCGGAGACGATCAACACGACCTACGGGGCATCACGGGCCATCGTGGTCTCCGCCAACGAGTTCAGCTCCGCCCAAGTCAAGTCCCTGTTCGACACAGCTGAAGCTACCTTCGACGCCGACTTGCACATACTCATAACCGCTGCCACCGTCAACGACGCCCGATACCGTGTGAGCCCGAACGGGCGGCTCTTGTTGCCACAGTGGTTGGATCGTAGGTGGGTGCGCCGGATGAGAAATGAGCGGGATAATGGTCTGCACCATCCCAGTCAAAGCTCGGACTTTATGAGCGAGGTCCTGAAAGACCTCGGACGATACGGGCGACGGGTCGGTTGGGGCGCCTTCGGGCGACGACAAGACCGGGTCGTTGAATAACCCCCAATAGCACTCTGAGGTCGCGGCGGGGTGCTCAGCTTGAGGTTCACCATGCGGGGGGCATTCCCCCGGAGCCCCGATCAGGTGCGACCCCTCAACTGTGGGTTCGTCTAGGTTGATCTACCGATCCCTCGCCATTCGGCCCTCCTTCTAGCGCCAAACTGTTAGGGTCAATATCTTTACGCCGTGACCTCGGGGCCAATATGGTTGGGTTTGGGTTCGAATGATTGAAGATCTTCCTAAACGACCCTTGAGACTGCTGAGGTAGCCGACCGCGGTGGTCCGATCGCAACAGGGTCATCGTTTTCTCTGGGAGGGGACCCCTCGCCTGGGCGTTCGGTGGTAGGTACTCCGTCTTCGTTCTTGCACATAGGTCGGGTCGGGAGAGCTCGGCCTGACCCCTCCGACTATCTAGTCAGTTAATAGTCTCAAGGGGCGAGGGTTTTTATAGGGAATGTTACCGTTTCCTAATGTGCCCGCTCGCAGGGAGCAGGGTCGTATCTTGGATAACGTCTGACACCAGCATTGGCGTTGCATGAAGGACCGGGCTCCTGCAGGATGGCGACGTGCCTCGGTCGGTGTTTTGGTCTGCTTCGACCAAGCGCTGTCAGGTCAGACCGAGGCAGGCGACCCCCGCAACTCTTCGGTCTGCGTGACCTAGGAGACGTCACCCGGGAGTAGGTGACGTTAGTTCGTGTCCCATCATTATTATTACCCTCATCAATGGACATGAAAAACAACGAGTAATGTAGACGTCGAGTTTGAACGAGAATAGGTAATCGAAACGCCTCATTATCAAACCCCATCGCGACAAACAAGAACAAAGAATCATGGGAAAATATGTATAAGAAATTAGAGAAGATAATGTTTAAATTTCATATAATTAGTTTAGGGTTTACGCTTTATCTTCCAGTCTTACCCTAGATTTCTTCCATTTACACCTATTTTGGGTCAATCTTAAACAGGATCTCATAAATCTACATCTCATTTAGAGTTTGAGCTATATCTATCTATGTGGATCAAGATTCATTTAGATCAATGATCCAAGCAAGATACGATCCATATCTTGATGAATTTAAGCTAGATCTTTAATTTTGCAGCAAAAATTAATTCTCGTTATTTGCGAATTTGATCATATATTGATAACTCTTTAAATAAGAAAAAAACCTTATAGCTCATGTGTTGTGCTTCGAGAAGTTTGCGTACATCCGTTGCATTATGCTGACATAGAAAAGAAAATAGAGGAGTACAAGATCGATGAATTCGACTCCCAGTTCTATGATAATGATCTGAACCCAATGCTCAATTAGTTTTGCTACTACTTTGTAAGCATAAGATATTTATACCTCCGAGGCGATGCATGAGTCCGCCGTTCTTGTTGACGCCATGGATGCAGTAGCTGTCGGCAGACTGCTGTGGTTGACCGGCGACAAGTAGACCAGAACTCTCGATGGTCGATTCCCCTTATCCGACGCTGCTACAGCCAGTAGCCTTAGAGCTCTCCTGCGAAGAGAAACAAAGGCACAGGCTGTGAGTGGGGAGATATGGCGGCTGCCGGCACCGCAGCGATGGAACACCGCCTGCAGCCGTTGAAAGGCCGCGTGGCGATCGTGACAGGCGGCGCAGGTGGCATCGGCTCGGCGGTCTCGGCCCACCTCGCCTCCCTTGGCGCAAGCGTCGTCATCGGCTACGTCGGCGACCCGAGCCCGGCGGAGAAGTTGGCGGAGGCGATCAACACGACTTACGGGGCTGGCGATGGCCACTCCGGCGGCCCCCGGGCCATAGCGGTCTCCGCCGATGTTTCCAGCTCCGCCCAAGTCAAGTCCCTGTTCGACGCAGCAGAAGCTACCTTCGGCGCCGACCTGCACATACTCGTAACCGCTGCCGCCGTCAACGACGCCCGATACCCATCGATAGTCGACACCACCGAGGAAATCTTCGACCAGATGTTCGGCGTGAACGCCAAAGGCACGTTTCTCTGCTGCCGGGAGGCGGCGAACCGACTGGTCCGGGGCGGCGGCGGGCGGATCATCACCTTCTCGTCGTCGGGGGTGGGGGGGCTCAGGCCGGGATTCGGGACGTACGCAGCGACGAAGGCTGCAGTCGAGGTGATGACGAGGGTGCTAGCGAAGGAGCTGAAGGGGACGCGCATCACGGCTAACGGGGTGGCCCCGGGTGCGACGGCGACGCCCATGTTCTACGCCGGGCAATCGGAGGAGGCCGTGTCAGCGTGCACGGCGGAGATACCGCTGGGCCGGCTGGGACTGCCGGAGGACGTGGCGCCGCTGGTGGGCTTCTTGGCCAGCGATGACGGAGAGTGGGTGAATGGGCAGATCATTCGTATCAATGGTGGCAATATCTGAGATCGCTGCAGACGAGCTGAATGCTCGATAATGATCCACAGTATTTAAGTTCGATGAAATAAGAATGATATGTTAAGCTTGTCTTACGTTTTAAGATCATTCCAAGGAGGCAAGAAAGAATAATGCAACATGGGAAACTGTTAATGACATGTTCTTATTCATATCTTGAAATCTTAAAACAAGCAGTTTTCTCATACAACTCTTCGACAGGATGTACAGTCTCGAAGAACAACTCACAGTACAGGTATTAACTTAGCTCCCTCGCTCGTGTCGCCCCAAGGATGTCTTCCATTTGCACAGATCTGACTCCAGGATATTAGCACCAGTCTGATGGAAATCTGCTCAACAAACACACATTTTACATCAATATAAGCTGACTAGATAGTAAATAAAGCGTGAAGCCAACAACTTAAATCCCGGTTTCAGTACCGATGTGTACCAACAATAAACCAAACTGAATCACCCAATATCAGCTGGAAAAAATATTTCAAAAATTACACTGACCAATACAATACCGGTCCAGTACTTACTGCATGCAGATATTTAAAAGCATAGGTGAAAGAACTGTCAGGCTTGTTGATATTATCATTGCTGGCTTTTCCTGAACTCAGTTAGAACTGGATATATGTTCTCAAATGCTGTATATGTCTCATCTCTCACCTGGTAAAGAATTCCAGGTACATGAATCAGATATGCCGAATTATATAATGAGGTTGTGAAGAATGTCAGTGCAGAGATTTACCTTAGCTCCAGTAATAACAATTTTTCCTGAGACAAATATGAGGAGCACAATCTTTGGCTGCTTCATCCGGTAGATCAGACCAGGGAAGAGCTCTGGTTCATACTGTGAGAAGCAATCAGCATTCCACAATGTTGAACATATTGCATCTAGAAAAAAGTTTGGTTTACAAAACCGATAAAGAGGGGAAGACGCAGTGAAGGGATTCTAAAGGTCATGTGCTTTGCCAGTGCCAGTAAATCACCCTAGTAGAAAAGAAAGGATGAGTGGTTTAAGAAAACAGATTGGCTCTACAAAGTTGCAGTGTAGCTTCATAAAAAAAGATGATTAAGCTTAATATTTATTATGCTTATCATTATCAGAAATGAGAGAAGTAGATGATCTGAAGTAGGGGAAAAGAAGAAAAATGAATCAATGATAGATCAAAATAGTGCAAAAAAGCAGCAAATCAGCAAAAACCAGCCGTAAAGCTCATCCACAGATCAATTACGTACACTGCAAAAGGCACCGTGAGAATATGCAAGGCCCTCAAGTCTTATTGGAAATTTGACATCACATGAACCGACAATATTCTGAATCTTGAAATCCTAGACACCACAGTAGAATGTTATACTAGATAGAATACATAAGCCACAAAAGTTAGTAGCAAGAGAGGAAGCAACAACTTAAGAGCAATTACCTTAAATTTAGCAGGAAAACCAAGCTTTTGAATTATTCGGGCGTACTGAAAGGCCAAGGACACGAGTAAGGAAACAACTCCCAAGTGCAGTTGCAGATACATAGACTCGAACAACACGATCTTAATACTCTGCTAGTACTGGAAATTATGCTTTGAAGCATTTAAGAGTAAATAGTCACAGTATAAGTAATCAGACCTTCCTTGCTGCAAGTTTGGATTGGTGCTCACTCTTCGCTCCAGTACAGACCTGCCATGTGGATCTAGAAAGTCAGCAGAAAAACTATAACAGTGGAACTGTCACAGAACTTTGGAAAGCAACAATGCCAGTATAATAGCTGTGATGTTAATTTGGCTATTGGATAATGTAATGGGTGCAACATCATACCATTTCATGCAACCTTAATTTGACTATTACCAATTCATGCAGCCTATTACATTACATAATTTTCAGAGTGTTCCACATGTTTCCTCATAAAAATGGTGACCCCATGAAGCTCCTGACATTACAGAGATTGGTGCATATCAATGTAGCCAACCTTGCCTTTGTATTTAATATATTGTTTCCATGACTTGAACTTGAGGAACTTTATCATTGTAAAGAGGCTCGCCATCATGGATTCAGTATATTTAATTTCTTGCATAATCATATTTTTATAGAGTAATGAAGCAAATAAAACAAAGAAGTATATAAGATGTACAAATAAAAAGGACAATTTCATATGTACTTTCTAAGACATGGAGAATTTGGTGTGTACCCTACTAAAGCTACAAATATTAGGAATGTGTCTTTAAAGTTAACAATCTTTCATATATATCCAATTCTTTCACATATACCCATCCACAATTTCTAAATGGAAGGATATTCATTAAATTATGTTAATGTTAAAGGGTGTCTATGATATATTTCAAAGGATGTTCACCAAAGTTTGTAAATTTTAGAGGGGTATTTGCAACTTTAGGATCTATGAAATAAAGGTACCTATGAGTTTGCCAAAAATAAAAGACACATGCTTCCTTTCATTTAAAGCGAATGTCAAAAATTAAATCTACAATAAAAATGGGCAAAGAAAATTGTAACAGTAGATTAAATCTATTTTGATGTATTAACAGGTTAATAAAAGTAGTTGTTGCACATCCACTACACATGAAATATCCCAAAATCTACAAAAAAGAACAATAAAAATAATTACCATTTTTCCTGATGCAAATATTAATGCAGTAGTTTTTGGCTCTCTTATTCTCATAATAACCGCGGCAAAACGCTGCACAAAAGAACAAGTATGCAAAAATTAATGAAGCATTGATTTACTGCACTTGTATAACGCAAAGTGTTTTAGTGCAGCATGAGACTATCAGCTGTCAACCTCACATAAACCTCTTGTTAATGCAAAAGGAGATTGCAAGAAAACCTAAATCCTAATAAAAATGAAAAATGGTCTACTCTATAAAAAATTGTTGCAGATAATGCTCATGCCATTAAGGAACCTAGCTTTTTGAGTTTGGAATTTACTTATACATGAACAAGGTAAAAAAGAAATAAGATGAGCTTTCTTCTAGAACAATGTTCATTTCAAATTATAGACACAAAAAGGATATCACTGTGACCAAGTTAACGCACAAGTCACACAATCACCAAGTGATTAATATGTGACATATGTATGTACTTCAGAATTCAGATTCTATTCAGCATGTCATTGAAACTTCATAATCATCTCAGTAATTACATATGGAGCTTTCTGTACAAGACTTGCTTCCTTTCAAGTTGGTCTTTTGTGATCTCAAACATACTTTAGAATCATGTGCAACGAGAAACTCAAAAAAAAATATCATTATGAATGACTAACCATATTAATGCAGAACACATATTATGTAAGTGTTCAATGTTGCCTAATGTTGTTTCATACCTTGGGGTTGTACTCAGCATTACGAGCTTGTAGAGCAATTGCTTTAAGATCCAACTTGCAGTCCAAATTAACAGTTGAAACAATATTCCTGGAGAGTCGAACAGAAGTCAAAGAAATTCATGACAATTTATCTGGCTATTTATTGCAATATCAGCTAACAGCAGCATACAACAGTTCAGACTTTAGTGATAAGCACAGGAGGTCAGCATTCTCTAATCAACATACGTATCCTACCTGTGGATATGTAGATAAGTTCGTTTTGACTATCAAAGCAGTTTTTATCAACAAGTACTGTCTTGTGCAAGAAGAAATGAAAGATTGTAGTGGCAAATCAAGGTGAGAATTCCTAAGAAACTTTGTTCATGCTTCCTTTTGATGCACATAAAATAATCTAAACTACCAAAGTATAATATTACTATAAATAGAAGATCCAAACTAATAAATAGGTCGAACAACCAACAACTTGTATGCTCATATGGTGGCACAAAAGTAAGTCTAAACAGGTAAAAGAAAGAATGCAGTGCTTAAAGACAATATTGAAGATCACAACCAGTGAACATTGATTAGAGAGCAAATTCAGTAATTCTTTTCTTTGTATGTGTGCAACCCGTTTCATCTGGTTCTTCACGTTATTCTGAATTCACTTGCAACATGAAAAAAGGTGAAGCTCAAGCAACTGATCATCACCCAAACACAAAGCCCAAGCAACTGATTATCATCAACCATGGAAGTACTATATTCAAGCATAAGCACCTGGATCACAGAATCATTCAACAGAAAACTGAAAAACAAATCATAGGTCCATTAGCATTCAATCGCAAGTCAACATATTATTAAAGTATAGGGAGCAAAGTCTGGAGGAAGATGGTTTCCCCACGATCAGACACAAAGGGATATCTGGATTCTTTAAGCATCCCTATACTGTTATACAAAATCTAATGTGCAACTTTAGTCCAAAAAATATACTGCATTCTTTAGGGAAAACGCAGAGACGAGAGACCTACTGAAGCGTGGGAACAATGCCAGAAGGGTGCTTGGAGAGATCGACCGGTTGGCTCCCTTCCAGGCCCTGATCAGCCATGCTCCACTTTCCAAATCTTCCTCCTAAATAATCAATCAACACCAACGTTCTAGAATATATATAGCTTCGCTTCTCCTCAACCCAATCAACGCTCTTCAAAATCGCACCTTTATATTTCCAATCTCCTCAAATGACCTTACTCGATCTATAAAGGACCGATCTTGAAAAATATTCCACCGACACACAGAAATCACCAAATATTTGCTCCTCCAAATCAACAACAGGCCAAATAGCGGAAATCTAATACGCAGCCGACAAATATAAAAGGATCAGCACGATCTATTAATTTGCCGGGTCACTCCGGGGACTGGAAGCAGAAAATATGATCAAACCGTAGCAGGAACGAAGGAGACATAATGATCTCACGATCTGACCCAATTCGACATAAAATCCGCCGGCGACGCCGCAAATCCTCTCAGCTCGGGCGATTGGAGGTCGGAGACGGACGGATTTGGGCGGGAAATGGTGGGTAAGTGGTGACGTAGGCGGAAAAATTCCAAACAAATGGGCCTTTTATAGGGAGAGGAACAGATCCGGCGATAAATACCTCTGAAGGAGAGAGAGAGGGAGAGGGAGGTTTTGGGGAGGGGTGGGTAGCAAATGGGACGAAGCGGATGTGCATTCTCTCCGCGGGATAATATTTAGGGCTACATTTTGCACATAAGCCCCGCAGATTAGTCATTTTGAGTTTCCTCGGCGAAGATTCCGGAATGCACGTGGACCTTTCTGATGTAATGCTGCGTGCCTAACCGAATCGACCCTGAGAAATTGCCCTGGCGCAGGTCTATTGCGCATAAAATGCAGCGGGACCCACATATGTGGGGGCCGGAACGTAAAAATTATCGAATACCTCGCCCGTGACAGATATTACGGGCGATGACAACCACACCACGCAACTTGACTTTACTGAGTCACCCCTAAGACGTTGCAGGGGTGTTGCGGCCCGTTGGGGACTAGACGATTTGTGGGGCCAAGGACAAAAACAGCGAACACATCAACCCCAACAATTTTTAGGGGTGATAAACCCACGCCGATTCATTTTTTTTAAAGATTCTCCAATCCTATTTATCAACTACATTAGTTGACATCTTCGATAAAATACATTTAAATAGCCATTAAACACATTTCAAGTCCCTTCTAACATTATTGAAGGCGTTTCAGTATCTCATATCATCAAATTAATCAATAAGAATACATCATTTCCTGCTTATAAAAACAGATCACATTTTAAGTACAAATTCATATTACTTCAAAATTTTCAAAACTGTCAAACCTACAATACAAAGAACACTATGATTTATCCTACATAGTTGCAAACAAAAAACCCTAATTTTATTTTACTAATACAACATTGCTAAGAATGATATTTTGATACTGATGACAGCCAGCACAATACGGTGTCGCAACCCTAAGCTGGCACGATTACATCGTATGAACAATTCAGGAAACTCGTGCATGAAACCTTCTGATTGAGAACAATGAAATGTTCTGATGTTCAAAACCAGTGCACCAGATTCAGAGAACTGCAAATCTTCCCTCGAAAGCAATTACTAGTGCCACAAAGCCACTGGCTTCTGTAGCTGAACTTGCTCAGATATCCGTTGCATGGCTAAAAACAGATACAACTCTTTTAGCTGCAGCATTGTCAGTAACAATGCTCTTAAAAAATCCAAGAAGTTAAACCTCATCCATGCTAGTCGGTTGATCTCTTTTTGGCCCACCTGCTGACTTGGCCTTTATGATCTGCAAACATAGTATAGGTGTCAATGCAACCGAAATGGAGCCAAAAGTAAGGCAACTACAGCGAAGGCAGAAATTTCAGCAGCATAGCTAAAATTACTGATGCGCAACGAGTGAATTCAGAAGGAACCATGAGATTGAAATGTGACTCAGTTGATTAACCCAGAGAAGAGTACAGGCAACATCAGCAGCATATTCAAAGACTATATCTGTCACAAAGGAATCGGGGATTCGTGTGGTCAATAACTAATCCAAGCTACAAGTTTGAGCACCTTAACCACCTTATACACAAAAAAAAAGGTCAAAGAAAGCACCACTCTCTAAAGACATTGATCACATTTGACTTGTTAGAAACTCTTAAACAGAAATCCAGAGATCCATATATCGGTTCGAAGAATAACAATCAAAATCATGTTCCAAGCCAGATCATCCTACAAGTTACAAAAAAAACAGAAAGAAAGGGAGAAAGAAAAAGAATGAAAGATGAACTTCCAGTAACAGCATACACTTTCTTTCGATTATAATAATGGTTTAGCAGATGCAAACAGCAAAAGTATTGCAGCTTCCAGTTCAATGACTAAAATAATTGAAGGAAAGAGATGTTGAGAGGGCCTAACTTGGTTGCATAGATGTATTAGATATTCATGGTCAAGACATCCTTGGAGACCCCTTCTTTTGCTATAGCATTTCCAGCAGCATGCTTGGCGAACAAGCAAGATATTATCTCCAATGCATTAAGCCTGGCATTTTCAGCAAGAGTTTGAAGTCCAAGCTACTCTTATCTACTATGGTAAGTTAGAGATTATGATACTCGGTTGAACCATCCAAGTATCAAGTTTCTAGTCCAACTTGTTAATAATGAGTACACAGTCTACCCCTCAGTCTATACCCACTCCTAGGAAGAGCTAGTTTTCTGTCCTTAGTTTTCTTTCTTCTTTTGTTAGTTTGGGTGTTTTTCAGGGGTATCTTGGATTTTATAGGTCAACAATGAAGTAATATAGGATAACGAAAGAAAGAACCTTATTAATTGCTTTCGTATAACCACTTATTATTTCACTAGGGTGCGGCCCGATCACCAATCTCCTCCTGCTGGGCCTTTCCTGATAGCACCAAAATCTTTGCAACAGGATGCTGGACCTCAAGCTCATCCGCTATTGTGGCAGCATCACTTGTTTTGTTCTTACCTAACAAGTTCACAAAACAAAAAAGAATGTTAATTAAATAAATGACAATAAGCCCAAGAAAAGAATCCAAACCAAACAAAATTTCTATCTCAAAGGCCACTGATGAGTGTGGCCCCATGATAAGTCTATGAAAAATCAAAAACAACTAAAAAAGTGTGAATCACAGCATCACCTCTCCAATCTATGTCAAACTAACCAAATAGAGTAAACCAGGAATCCAAAGATAAATAAAACCACAGCTAGTCTTCTAAAATTGTTCGTAGTAACTACTGATTCGTTCCATAGATAAAATTATTCCAATACAAAATTTCACCTATGGATGGCCTCTTCTAAGAGAATGAGACATCCATGCATGCCTAACATTCTTTGCGATATTTGAATTTAAAGGATGCAATGAGTATCATACAACTATCAGCTCCAAGGCACAAAAAGGAGACAAGGGCCTATTACATTACATTCAGAGAGCAAAATGTGACAGAACAACATAAGGTGAACTCCAAGAAAAGGGCAATCTTGATAGACTGAATTCTAATGGTAAGTGAATAAGCGTTTAGACTATCAAGATAACTACAACAGAAAGGCAATGCAACCTCAGACCCCCACTAGGGAAAAGAAGGGAACTGTGAGCGCAACGATATCGGTGCGGGAAACCCACCGTTGGGACCGAGGGAGGTGCAGGCGATGTAGGAAAGCTACTTTCAGGCGTCGATGTTCCTGAGGACGGCCTCGTCGAGCCCCGGGAGGTGCTCGTGCCCTTCCTTCAGCATCTCCTGGAGGCCGTACGCCGGCAACCCAAACGACATCTTCCCCTCCCCTGGTGAAACCGAGACCGCCAAGGAGAAGAACAAAGAGGGAGCAAGGAAGGAAGGAACCATAGATCTCGGATTCGAAGAAACCCTACGCTCGAGCGGTCTTCACGTGACAACCACGTGAGGGTGCCTCCCCCTCTCTTTCAACGGTGATGGACTCGGTCCGGTTCGGGTCGGGTCAAGTAAGTTACAATCCGACCCGATCTGAATACAATAAGATCCTTCACATATTTTGTTAACATTTACTTTGATTTTTTTTTTAAAATAAATAGTATAAAATATTAAACATTTCTAATAATTTATAATACAATAAGTTTAAAAAGAATAACAATATAAATTAAATTGATGAATAATAGGTAAATCATTCTAACCGATGGATTTTGTTCACTCAATACTAAATATATATATATATATATATATATATATATAATATTTTGTTAGTATATTAGAGTTTTAAATAGTCAATAATACACTCCACTGGATTGACTAATAGAGAAGAAATAGTTTCTTTTTAATTGGAAAAAATAGAAATATGCAACGTTTTACGAGTTGGCAATGATACTTACCGATGACACAATGAGAGAAATGTGGAATATGTCAAGTGTTGTCTATATCAAAAAAAATATTCTGAAATGATTCTTGTAAGTTGGACACTTGTTGCTTCCATCACAAGCATGTGTGCCACAGGCAGTAAGAAACATCACCGAAAGAAAGAACAGCTGTTTGGAAGATACATCAGCATCGGCTCCATGAGGTGATTCCTCTTTGGTTTATTCCCTCCTCAAGGAACTGAGCCAATCACCAAGTTGCGTGAGGGCTAGGGAAGTTGAACTCAGCATGCCGCATGATTCATGTCCAACCGGGTATGCTTCATCTCAGCACCATTCTTGCGGTGGTGATGCCATTCGACTAGCTTCTTCTCTGTGAGGGTTTCAACTCCTTTTAATCTCTGACATGGTCATCAAGTTGTTTACATGCTTTGATGCATCATTTCAAGGCATTGTGTACTCACCTCACAAACCTCTTTAAACATAAAGTTACTGGAATTGTCAGATTCACTGAATCGCTTACAAAGTGTTCTTTGTAAATCCTCAAAGCAAAATATGAGTCCACTGAAACAGGAATTTGGCACAAGAACACACATTTTGGCACAAAACATCTGTCATTTAGCTTGTTCTTGTTTGGATTATGAAAAAAAGATATTTTTTTTCTGTTCTTCTGTTAAAGGAAGCGCATGCAATACAAGTAATGTGAAAACTTTTTAGCTCGCCATGTTAAAACATTTCATTAATCAAGAATGATCATTGTCTCATTCATTTGCAAGCTGTCCTGTTGAGTTTGGTAAGCATGACAAACAAGTTCTGGATCATTATCCTTACTGCTTGGCCTTTTTAAAGAAGAACTAATGGCCTATAAGTATGTACAGGATCTAAGAGCAGACATGATATAGTTCCAAACCATATCAAAGAAATAACTTCATATGGAGATGCATGGATATGGCTTTCGATCAGGCAGTCTTCCTTGACCAATTTATTTTGTTTCAAAGGTCAAGCTTTTTTTGCAGCATCCTGTTCTCCGTAACTTTGGTATGAGGGCTCATGCTTTCGAGCAGTTGATGTGAAGGTATCAACCACCACATCTTTTGGTGACAAGATTCTCACTTTAGATGGAGACACATGAAAGAAATTAGATACGAAGGCATCCAAATTACCCCCCTCTCCATCCTAACTTTAATGGTGTAAGGTTGAAGGATCCTCTCCCTTTTTCAAGATCTTTCTTTGGTCTTCTTCTTCTTCTTCTTCTTCTTCTTCTTCAAGACACCTTTCTCAGTGATCTGAGCATGTACTGGATGACTAGCAACCTGAGGTCTCGAAACATGGACTTCTTGTTCTCCAAGACATGGTAGTATATGCTCTCTTCAGCATCCAATCTGTGAACACCTTCAACCGCTCTTGGACATACATCCTTGAATGGCAATCTCTTTCCCTGTTCTTTCAGCTAAAAAGGTAATCCTGATCTTCCTCAACATATCGTTTTTGGCTGTGGGGCTCTTCTATGTTTCTATCCACCTTGATACATCCCATGCAATTCTTCAAAGATCCACAAAACTTCATCTCAGAGATTCCAGTAAAGGTTGTCATGACATCTGCAAAGCCAAGTCGGTGCTCTTGAATTCTGAAGCCCGATTCTCTCAAGGCTACATAAACTATCTCCACATCTTCTACTGTGTTTATGGCAAGTATCCATTCTTGGGTTACGCTCTTCTGATTCTATGGCTTCTGGTTCTCTTTTATCTTCTTGCGGATACATCTGCAAACTATTTCTGCACAAACTTAGAGGGCCTGTCCACACTCTTGAAGCTCCCTCCCACCATTGCCGGAGCGACCCTTCTTTCTTTAGGAAACGGCGCTCCCGACGCATTCTCTAGCATTGTCTCCTTCATGGGCGCTGGTTCAGGTGTTGTAGGCCTCAACAGCGTCTTAGGTGGTTCCTTCTTTGTGTCTTGTGTGGTTGTCGGAATCATAAGCACCTGTGTCAGCTCCCACGAGTATCCCATCGACAAGTCCAGCTTTGTGAGAGACATCCTATTCTTCCTCTTTGTCCTCTCGGTCCTCCTTGTGATACTAGTCATAGGAAAGATCAATCTATGGGGTGCCATAGCTTTTACTTCACTGTATCTTGTCTATGTGTTGCTGGTAGCTGTAGGACATTTCTGCAGGAAGGAGGAACAGGAACAGGAACAGGATCTCTCATGCAAAACAAGACAGAATGCTGACCTGGAAGCTCCTCTTCTGGAGAGTTTGGAAGACCATCAGCCAGATTCAACAGAGAAGGAAACTGCCTCAACAAGTGAATCAGATGGTACCAGGAGCCATCCATCAGCTTGTTATCACTGCAAGAGAATTGTACAGTGTTTAGAGCTGCCTCTTTCTCTGCCTAGGATGTTGACCATCCCAGATGTCAGCAAGGAGAAATGGTCCAAGCCATCTGCAGTTGCTTCGGTGACACTGGCACCATTGCTCTTGGCAGTTCTGGTGACTTGTAAGAGGAAGGATGCTGGTTCAGAGGAAAGCCTGTCGATATACATTTCTGGTGGACTCGTGGGGCTCGTGCTGGGCATTGTTTGCTTGGTGAAGACCGAGAAGGAGAGACCTCCGACAAGGTTTCTCTTCCCATGGCTTGCTGGTGGCTTCCTGATGAGTGTAACCTGGACCTACATCATTGCGCAGGAGTTGGTCTCTCTTCTGGTCTCGCTTGGGACTGTCATGGAGATCAGCTCCTCGATTCTGGGGCTCACAGTCCTGGCCTGGGGCAACTCAGTGGGGGATCTGATTGCCAGCTCGGCAGTGGCACTGCATGACAGGCAGGGTGGGACCCAAGTTGCAATGTCTGGCTGCTATGGTGGGCCCATCTTCAACACATTGGTGGGGCTGGGTCTCTCCTTTGTGTTCTCCTCATGGAGTGCATACCCCTCACCTGTGGTCATTCCAAAGGACCTCACCCTGTATCAGACGATGGGGTTTCTGATTGGTGGCCTCCTGTGGGCCCTGGTCATTTTGCCCAGGAGAGGCATGAGGCTCGACAGGGTTTTAGGCTCTGGCCTGCTCTCTATTTATTTCTGCTCCTTGTCTCTAAGAATGGTTCAGTCTCTTGGACTTGTGTAACTGCAACAATAGCCAGAAAGGGCCTGTCAAAACCACTATGGAAGCATAGAATTGAAGGGAGAATGTTAATGTTTCCTTCTATTCATGAATTTTCTTCTGCTCAAATGTTTGGTAAAGTTCATGTTTGCTGTCAAATTGATATCTCCCCAACTCCACTTCTCTGGCACATTTCCTCAAACACCTAACCGCTGCAGGATCTAGTTCTGGTGTAGCATTTACCTTTACCCTCTTCCTCTCGAGCACTACCTCGATGTCCTAATCTGGAGTCTGCATCTACACTGTCATATCAAGAAAGATAATAGTTGACAAAGTGGTGCATCCTTCTTTATCTGCTGAAAAAATCTTGAAATATCAACATCAGGAACAAGACTAATATGGTTTGGAATTGTGAACCTCACCACAATCCTTGAAGCAGTAAACATCAGGAACTCTATGCAGCAACATATCCAGCCAAATCAATGTGCATCATAGAATACAGTGTTAGTCTCTAGCTCGATTTAGATTGAATGTTCCATCTTTTGTTCCAAGAACACTGCCAAGAATAAAGGAATTCTTCTAGTGACAGCAGGCTTCTCTTCACAAGAATGTTGATAATTTTGGTTCAGCTCTGGTTATAAAGTCTTTATTGGTGGCAAATAAATCCTTATAGAAGGTTGAAGCATGTGAAAAAAGGGGAATCGACGTTGTGGGCATCTCTCACACAGCTACACCCCAAACTGAGACAATTAGATCCTTTTCCTGATGTATTTGTTCTGTTCTTCCTGTCCTCAAACATTTGTGTACGACACTTGATCTTGAAGATTGCATCTGTAGAAGAAGAAGTTTATGTAACGGTTATTATTAAATATCTGATTTAATAATAACGTAACCGTTCTCATTAAGATTCATAATTCATTATCATGAATTTCTTCATTTATTATGGTTTAAATGATTTCAGTTTCTTATTCTTTATGCATGAAATC